TCGCAAGTAACAGCTAGTAGAAGATAATATTTCAATTACAGAATGAAGAAAGTAGTATTACGGAAACTTAGACGAAACGCAAAGGACAATCGTGGGCATGTTCGGAATAAAGCAGCAGCAGCAGAAGTAACAGGATTGGTAGCCCAAGGGAGGTACGTTTTTGCTTATTGGATTCATTAGGCCCAAATGGATGTGCATCGAAAACACCGAAGTGAAAACATATGCCCATCACATCTGAATACGGGTGTAACCTGAAGGAAAATAAGGATGGAAAGGGAAATACGACTCGAAGAATCCAAATGCCACGATTGCCCTTTGCTCTTTGAATTCTCTGGACAATTTTATTTCGGAATATATTGCGAAGCCTAATGCTTTCCAATGACAGAAGTAGCTAAAAAATGGAAATGTCAACAAAAATGGCAAAATTTAGTTATTCCGAGCCTTGAAACTTTGAACGCGTGTCCAGAATTAACTGCTCATCGTAGGAGTTTGGGTTGTTACAAAGTCTTAGATTCTCTTCAGAGTTATGGCCCGGCCTCCAGGATCATGGGAATTAATTGGAGCCAAACTTCTATTTCACCAATTTAATGGTCCGAGTACAAATGTAACTTATATAGGGGATGCTCCATCTCCTCAATGAAACAAAGAAAAAAAATTGTGCATTTTTTGTTTCGGAAGGCATTCGAATTGTCAGCCCAATAAACCAGTGAGAAAATTCCAAAAAATCACTTTTGACTGAAATATGTATCGAAAGAATCTTCATATCGGAATTTAAAGCACAGTTACTTGAACAATTATACTTCGAAATAGTAATACATAATGGGGTATAACGGGTAACGCTTATCAATGACAGGAGTAATGAGAAAATGCAAAACACTACCAATCACATTTTTGTCGAACCTTCAAACTTAAAGCGTGTGTCCATAACGAACCGTTCGACCTACGACCCTCTATAGGCACCCCCCAGGAAAAAATGAGCCTGATCTGAGATATGACCCGCCAAGCCAAGTCGTGGAACTTTAGTTTTGACCCATATCAATATTCCTTTCATAGAAAGGTCCACTCAAATATGTAATAAAATATGGAACATTTTATTGAAGATTTAAATAAACCCTTATAGAAGAAGAAGATTGATGATAACATACCATAACATTTTGACGATTAGTTACAAGCGATCCAATGTAAAAAACGATCAACTCTGCAGGCGATTTTAAAAGATAGTGATTTTATGGACTAGGGTTATGAAAGGTACTGAGGTGCTTCAAAATGAGCTATGACACGACCCCACACTGTTGACATTTTCAGTTGCCACTTTCACGCCAAAGTATGGTATCGGCAGGAGTATTATGTAAAAAAACGTCAAACCCACAAATGTCTTCATGCAGACTAGGTAGTTTTTAGTGTGCAAATGGTTCATTCCACGTTTGCTCGCTGTGAGCGTGCATCTAATTGAGGATGCTCAAGCATGCATTGTTGGTTGCAGAAAGCCGAGAGTATATTTTTGTGAAGCCAAGTAGTCTGTAGTGTTTATCTCTGAAAAGATATGGAAGTTGGTTAGCAAGATCGCATCTGGATGATTATGTGTATTGGTCTGCATGTGTATAAAATCAGTGATATTTGCTATGTGAGAAAGTTATTACTGGATATGCTGCCAATGCAGTATATATATTCGGGTTATTTATATGTTGTCCTTTCTAAAGTGCTCAAAGTTACAAATTACGATTTTTCCCGTTTTTTTGTGTTTTCGAAGACTATGAAGATCACTACGGAAAATCACCACTGCGCCCGCGTTGTGTGCAATTAAGCCAAATCACAGAAAAATTAGGAACAACGCATTTTTTAAATTCAGCAAATTTGCATATGTAATTTCCAGAATGGATAAAAAAATAGATGCATACCTACATTTCTTCTAGCCATTTTATACTACAATGTGTAAGTTGGCTCTTGTTGTAGACTTCGTGTATGATTTTTTCCCCTCTCCGAATAATTAGTTTCTATATATATATATATATATATATATATATATATATATATATATACAAAAGCAGTGACATACATTTATCATGAAATTTTGAAGACTATTTAACCTATGAAGATGGAATTTGGTAGGGAGGTAGTTTATGGGTAGGGTATGTCGTCTAAGTACCGATTTCATAACGGGGCCGTATTAAGGGAGCTAAGGGCAAATATATGTAGAAAGCGAAAATAAACACACCAATTACAAAATGTCAGAAACTATTTAACCTATGAACATGTTATTTGGTAGAAATGTTCATAGAGAATGAATGTGACCTAAAACGGATTCTGTGACAATGACAGATTAAGAGGACTAAGGACATGATATATGTAAAAGTGAAAAGATGGAATTAACCACGAAATCTCGGAAACCAATCTATCCGACAAACATGAATTTTGCAGGGAAGTAGCTTATAAATGAAGGGCACTTGTGAGTTTGTTTGAAACTGCTTGGAGTTTTCAAATATCTACAAATTGACCTCGATGATGTTCTGTTTAGAGTGGACTTAAACTAATAATCGATTGTGTAACCGGAAACTTGACAGGAAGGTGGCTTTTATGATCTAAAATTTAGTTTAATTTAAATTGCTAATTTCATGAAATTGGTGATATTATTAAATTTTTAGCTTTCCACCCCTCGGTTTTACCTCCGCAGCTTATAGGTGATTTCACAGAATTTCCCAACCATACCAGCTGACTGTCAATTGCTAAATGCAATGCTACTATAGCAAAACACAAAAACACTCTTATATGTTAGTGCCAATTTTAAGTCATACGAAGTCGCAAGTAACAGCTAGTAGAAGATAATATTTCAATTACAGAATGAAGAAAGTAGTATTACGGAAACTTAGACGAAACGCAAAGGACAATCGTGGGCATGTTCGGAATAAAGCAGCAGCAGCAGAAGTAACAGGATTGGTAGCCCAAGGGAGGTACGTTTTTGCTTATTGGATTCATTAGGCCCAAATGGATGTGCATCGAAAACACCGAAGTGAAAACATATGCCCATCACATCTGAATACGGGTGTAACCTGAAGGAAAATAAGGATGGAAAGGGAAATACGACTCGAAGAATCCAAATGCCACGATTGCCCTTTGCTCTTTGAATTCTCTGGACAATTTTATTTCGGAATATATTGCGAAGCCTAATGCTTTCCAATGACAGAAGTAGCTAAAAAATGGAAATGTCAACAAAAATGGCAAAATTTAGTTATTCCGAGCCTTGAAACTTTGAACGCGTGTCCAGAATTAACTGCTCATCGTAGGAGTTTGGGTTGTTACAAAGTCTTAGATTCTCTTCAGAGTTATGGCCCGGCCTCCAGGATCATGGGAATTAATTGGAGCCAAACTTCTATTTCACCAATTTAATGGTCCGAGTACAAATGTAACTTATATAGGGGATGCTCCATCTCCTCAATGAAACAAAGAAAAAAAATTGTGCATTTTTTGTTTCGGAAGGCATTCGAATTGTCAGCCCAATAAACCAGTGAGAAAATTCCAAAAAATCACTTTTGACTGAAATATGTATCGAAAGAATCTTCATATCGGAATTTAAAGCACAGTTACTTGAACAATTATACTTCGAAATAGTAATACATAATGGGGTATAACGGGTAACGCTTATCAATGACAGGAGTAATGAGAAAATGCAAAACACTACCAATCACATTTTTGTCGAACCTTCAAACTTAAAGCGTGTGTCCATAACGAACCGTTCGACCTACGACCCTCTATAGGCACCCCCCAGGAAAAAATGAGCCTGATCTGAGATATGACCCGCCAAGCCAAGTCGTGGAACTTTAGTTTTGACCCATATCAATATTCCTTTCATAGAAAGGTCCACTCAAATATGTAATAAAATATGGAACATTTTATTGAAGATTTAAATAAACCCTTATAGAAGAAGAAGATTGATGATAACATACCATAACATTTTGACGATTAGTTACAAGCGATCCAATGTAAAAAACGATCAACTCTGCAGGCGATTTTAAAAGATAGTGATTTTATGGACTAGGGTTATGAAAGGTACTGAGGTGCTTCAAAATGAGCTATGACACGACCCCACACTGTTGACATTTTCAGTTGCCACTTTCACGCCAAAGTATGGTATCGGCAGGAGTATTATGTAAAAAAACGTCAAACCCACAAATGTCTTCATGCAGACTAGGTAGTTTTTAGTGTGCAAATGGTTCATTCCACGTTTGCTCGCTGTGAGCGTGCATCTAATTGAGGATGCTCAAGCTAGCATTGTTGGTTGCAGAAAGCCGAGAGTATATTTTTGTGAAGCCAAGTAGTCTGTAGTGTTTATCTCTGAAAAGATATGGAAGAAATAAAGTTAGTTGGTTAGCAAGATCGCATCTGGATGATTATGTGTATTGGTCTGCATGTGTATAAAATCAGTGATATTTGCTATGTGAGAAAGTTATTACTGGATATGCTGCCAATGCAGTATATATATTCGGGTTATTTATATGTTGTCCTTTCTAAAGTGCTCAAAGTTACAAATTACGATTTTTCCCGTTTTTTTGTGTTTTCGAAGACTATGAAGATCACTACGGAAAATCACCACTGCGCCCGCGTTGTGTGCAATTAAGCCAAATCACAGAAAAATTAGGAACAACGCATTTTTTAAATTCAGCAAATTTGCATATGTAATTTCCAGAATGGATAAAAAAATAGATGCATACCTACATTTCAAGTGCGTGTATATGAAACAACAAACCAGTGGAACTATCATCAGGACAGATTCATTAGCACACAAATCCTAACTATGCCCCTATGCTCAAATGCCTTTTTGATGTCTGAACATACTGTTACGGTTAACGTCGCTATTTCAATTTAGAAGTTGAATACCCCAATATCAAGAATACGATAAGATAGCAGCGAGGAGTATTGAACCTGCGTAGTACTGGAAGATGATGCACAGTGCTGATGGGTGGGACTTTCGAACTTTTAAGAGTATACAAAAAAAGTCTAATTACCATTACTTTTGCTCAAAATCGAATAACGCTGTAATATTTTTCCAGCAGAGCTGTAGAAAACTATCCATGACATGAAGTTTCAATGATATCAAACTACAGAACACACTTCAAAGGAGTTGACAGAGAGATAACTAAATTAGCCCCCCAATTCACTAGATCTAAGCTCGCTTGGTTCCTTCCTTCATTAATAACCAACTGAGTATCTGTTACTAACTGAGGCCAAGAAACATTGCCTACTGGAATGGCAATATTCGCTGTTAAATCGTAGGTCAAAAACTCCAAATACCGCAGAAAGGTATTGAAAACATCATGGAAAAAACAACTCAAGAATTTAGGTATGGAATCTGTCTTTGGAATTCCTCATCAGCACTTGAAAGTGACTCATAGCCCAAAAGCGAATTGTGCGATCAGCGGTTCAGGTTGCTTCTACCTATAGTTGCAAAGAACTATTTCAGAGAGACAAAATATTATCTGTACCGGTATTAATAATATATGAACTATCGGTATATGTACGAGTATATGAGAATAAAAAAAATAAATTTACCCTGAATAAGGAAGTTTATTCAAAAACACAAGACACCGGGACAATAATTTTCATACACCATTCTCGAAATACGTCATAGGTAACAATTCATCAAATTTATTGGGTCCTACAGTATTCATTGAGCTACCGAAGGGACGGCAAGGTGTCGCAAGACTAAGTCGCTTCAAGGATCAGTTGAAGGGTATCTAGTCAAGCAGTGTCTGTTTTCCGTGTATGATTTTATCTCTATCTAGTCTCGTTTATGGACTTTACGTCCAATTTTAACATGTATTATTTATATTTTACATTTTGTTTATACTGCTTATTGTTCCTTTGTGAAGGTAATTCAGCCATGTTTTAGATGTAAATCTATAATTTTATTTATGGACGAATTCAAGCTATCAAAGATTATGCGAATGTTGTCGAAGCAAGGAACCCTCGTTTTGCTGAACAAATACTACTCTGATGTCGTATATCTTATTAGTGGCATTGACTTCAGTAGTTTTACTTATGGGGCCTGATTTAATTACAATTTTAATTATTACGACAAAGCTGCTTCTCATGTAGTGCATTCCTTCATCCTTCATAATTTGCTCATAGACGCTTCGGTGAACTACTATAGCTCTAGTCTATGCGTATGATGAAAGCTACTACTGTGTCTTATGGCTTCGTTCACCTAATTAGTATTTTGTCAGAATTATAAAATGTATGAGAAAGAGCCTTGCATCGTGAGTTACGCTACATATTACAAAATCTTAACAATTTAGTCCCACAGTTCGGCGAAGCTCATGAGAAGGTTGAAAAATCAAGCTGCCGCAACTACATTATTGTGATGACTGTGAAGTGTCAACTTTGAAGCTTGTGGAACACTTTGGTTGTACCTCCTTTGGTCCATATACCAAATTATGAAAAAAATATACTGCTAAGTATATACAGTATAAATTTTTACGTCTTGCAGCATTAAAGAGGAACTTAAACATGACGAAATATCAAATAGCTGACATGTTAGAACATTTGCGTTTACCTACATTGGAGCATAGACGCTTGGTCTTTGATGGTTGTTTCGCTTTGAAGATTTTATTTGGGATCACCAATTGCGAAACTTTGTTAACATTAATACATCTTAATGTACCCCGTAGAACATCCCGTAATAATAGTCTGTTGGTGAATTAATAAGCACAGGAATTACCAAATCAAGTTGGCCGTTGCGCTTCTGAGCGTTGTTATCGACTTTTCCTTTTTCAACGTGTAGGTAATTGTAACGAAATAAACCACTATCCGTGTATTGAAACACACCCTTGCATGCTAGCGCTACGTAGCTGTTCGCATGTAGGTTGATTCATTCTATATACGGGGGTGTGTATCTCATACCCCCTCCTCCACATAATTATTGTCTTCCTTCCTCGAGAGCTATATAGTCCAATAAATATAGCAAAATCGTTAGAGGAACCCCTGAAGGCTCAAAATATTTAGAGAAACGATGTCAATAATGGTCGTTTACTACTCGTAGCATATGGGGCGTGCCATGAAAAAAGTACCGCATCCTGGTTTTAATTGGTGAAAGATAGTTTTTAGTTTTTTTCATACAGATATTTTATTGATCACGGATTGCAACTCGGGTCATTTTTAGGAGCCTGGGATCGCTACAAAATGCCAGAGAACCAATAATAATTTTCTGATATAGTCGTTCTTCAATTTTTGCAAGAATTAGGTATTTGCCAAATATTGCAAATAAACTGAAAATTTTATGCAAATTCAAATCTCGATATTTTCGGAACGATTTACGGTACTCCGGAGGTTCTTGACCAACTCTTTGAGAACACGTACAGGGTTCGACCTGTTTTTTGAGGCAGTGAATAATTCTGTCCTGCTTAATGAGCATAAGACAGAAAAACATAATCCAAAAAGATTAGACTTCATAGGCCTGCGATGATTTTCCCCTTAAAAACTAACCGGGAATTTGGGTGTGCATTAGATACTGTACTACGAAACAATGTTATGAAAAAATCGCATATATCTCATGAAAAGATCGTTCTTTCCATTTTTTTCTATTATTACTACCTGTCAAAGTGTGCATAAGTAAATCTAATCCTAATTAAAACAGCGAGAAAAAGCAGAGCTATCAAGAAAGGCGTGAATTCCCGTATGAGGCAACCCCGAATGACGGAGATTAACTGTGATAACAAAAACTATTCCTAAAGGATAAGGCTAAAAAGTCCAATGAGATGACTGCTCACTTAATTAGAAAGTATTAAGCAAATATAAGTTTAAAAGCGATACATCTCGTCCATAAAGTGTGTCATATCCATGGTTGGGGGCGGAACACTTGGGGCTGAAGTTACTTCTTTTAGGGCAAAATCGACTCAATATTGTCAGTAGTCATTAAAGAAGTAATTATCTGATTTTTTAGCCAAAAATAGTTTGGCATAAAAATAGCTCAAGTCGACTTTCGGATGCAAAGATCAAAGATGGTATTTTTGTTAGCAAGACGCTAAAAGGTTGTCATAATATAGTGAATAACATGCTAAGTTACAACATGAGTATAAGGTTCTGTAGTTCTGTATTCTCATATTGAATTTTTTCATGAGAATCAGGTGCAGTAGGTGGAGAACAAGGTGAACACTCCCATCAAGGTATCGGGTTTTCCAATAGGGACTTGACAACTTTGAACAATCAGTAAAGAAAATATGTATTTTCATCATGGTGAAGTACACGAACGAACAACGCTTACGAATAATCAAAATTTACTATCGAAGTTCCGAGTCGGCGACTGCAACTTTAAGAGTGTTAACGCCAATTTCTGGTCGTAATTCTTGTCCCAGTAGACAAGCAATTCATAGTCTAGTAAAAAAATCTGAGTCCACATATCCGCTACTGGATGTTTCCGTGCCAGTGAGATAAGGGTTTGTTCGAAGTGCCGAGAATATCCCTGCCATTCAAGCTTCCACCGCAAATGAACAGAACACGTCGATTCCACGGCGTTCTCAAGAATTGGGCGTCGCTCAGCCCACACTATGACGAATTTTGCAAAGAGATCTTGGCCTGCATCCTTATAAGATCAAGTTAACTCAAGGACTAAAGCCGTTCGATCATATGAACCGACGTACATTTCTCGAATTGGGCTCTAGAAATGTTGCAAAAAAATGACCAATTTCATATCAAAATCATCTTCAGTGATGAGGCGCATTTTTTGCTAAACGGTTTCGTCAACAAACAGAATATGCATTATTGGTCGGGTGAAAACCCTCATGTGCTTCAAAACACACCACTTCATCCACAAAAAATAACTGTATGGTGTGGTTTTCATCCCGGTGGTGTCATTGGGCCGTTTTTTTCGTTTATGAAAATGATGGTTGCATTACAGTCATCGGAGATCGCTACATAGACATGTTGCAACGTTATTTTTTTGGTCAATTGGATGGGCTAGATATTAATGATATGTGGTTTCAACAAGACGGTGCCACAAGTCACACAGTGGATGAAACAATACACATATTGAAATCAAAATTTGGTGAACGTGTTATATCGAGAAATGGTCCTGTCGAATGGCCACCTAGATCGTGTGATTCAACACCTCGAGACTTTTTTTGTGGGGCTACATTAAATCATTCGTCTATCCCAACAAGCTGGCGTCGTTAGAGGAGGTCAGAGACAATATTGAACGCCGGTTCTGTCCAAATGTGTGGCCCAGTTGTTGAATATTGAATTCAACCAATCCATCGATGCGAACGTGCCCGTGGTGAACATATGAACGAGGTCAAATTCCATACATAAATTTTTTGAGTATACTTCAATCCAATAATAAAATATTCGAGATATCTCAAATGGTTTGCGTTTTTTATTCAAAAAGAAAGTGGTTAAGTCCTTAATGGAAAACCCTTTATTGAGGTTATAGAGAGCTGATACCAAGGAATGTGATATACAAGCATGACAGGAGACTTTTGCTAGATGTTGAAGAAAGGTGAACCGGGTAGAAAACATATGAAAAACAGATTGAATGTGGATTTTAAAGGAAATATAAAAAGATAGAACTCGTCTTTTCGACTTATCTCTTTAGCATTTTTATGATCACTACTGTTTGTGTTTTAGATAAAAATGTATTTTTAGTTTCAATATTTTTTGTTGTTCCATGAAAATTGTCAAAAATAAAATAAAGCTCATCAAAAGCTCCGCACCATTTGGCGGCATCTTGAAAAGTGCGCTCTAAGAAAACGGTAGCGCTGAATTTTCCGCACAGCGACGTTCGCATCGCGGCGCGCTCCATTAAGAAGGAGCAGTCAGTTCCAGTTGGCACGAATCGATACGAGCGCAGGCGCCACGCCACCGAAATATCCTTGGTCAAATCACCAAATGGACAGGATCGGACTTCAATATGCGGTCAGTTCGTTTTTCTATTCCTCATACTCGTATAATAAAAATCCATATCACACATTTTTGCATGTTTCTTAGATAGTATATCCTTTGCCATTCTTTGCAGTTTTGTATCACTTACCGTTATAAATTCAAGTTATAAAGTCAAGTTCGGTCAACTTAAAACATTTATTATAAATACGACGTTTTGGCGCCTTTCGTCCTTTTAGCCGTTGGTGGAATTCCCAGCACCTTTCACAGGTTTCAGAGCCGTTAAAAATAAAAAAACGCTACAGGAAGTTCATGAGAGGATAAAGGAAGCGATGGCCCTGTAACCGATTACAATATTTCGGTAAAAAGTATAATTACATGATATGAGATCATCAAAATTGAGAACGCATGGATGACATTCGTCTGTGATGATAATATTCCTGACTAATCATCCTGCTTGCTTCCGTCCGACCTACAGAAAGCCAACCGTGTACATCTTTTTCGTGCTTATGATAATCATCAGCATTATATAAGGCCTACTATATTGCCAGAACCGACGGCATCAAGAGGTCACAGTGAGGACTCGGCTTTTCAACGCGAACTGAGACAACTTTAACAGGTTGTTCCAACAGATACCTGCTCTGTATTGTCTCAGTGGTCGATTCTGTTAATAGATGGCAGTGTTGATGTCACTTGGGTACTACTAGTTAGCTAAGTCTGGAACGTAAAGGTTCTGCCAATTTTGACCCTGCCATTAGTCATTTAGAAATGGCAGCACAGACAAAGTACACCGACGTTTTCAATACATCAATGTATTGTAATTATCCGTACTACACCAAACCAAACGTGGGTCACACATTATGTCGTTTTACTCTTGAAAATTGATAGTATGTAGATGGTAAGTTGCAATCCATACCGCCGCTAGCATTGTTACGCCACCAGCGTTCCATAACTTTCAATCATCAATTTTCATGAAAAATGTTGCCTAACAATGTTGTAAAGTTGAATACTCAGGATGGCAGCTTCCCTTACATTCGGAACATGTATTCTGGAATAGCAGCCTCGCCAACGGCAAGTTCGCAATAGGTGTGTCTTCTATCTTCGTTCCGCTTGACGCAGGTGTTGAATATATTTCAAAACCTTAAAGGCAAATGTACAGGGAGATCTATGTGTGAGATATGTAAACGTATAAACATATTAGTGCATTAAAAATTGAAATACACCCTTTCCAACCCCCCTCAACCGCCACCCCTAAATTTGGAACCCTAAAAAAATATTTCAAAAAAATAGGAGTCTTTGGAACAGAAAAAGTATGAGCGATTTCACCGGCACATAAAAATAAAAAAGTACTCTGACCATTTCACTAGACGTACCTAGGGTTATGTATTTCGATGCGCTGAATCCGAATCGGGGGTCCGTTTAACAAAATTTAGAGAAAATTGTATAACATCGCTAAAAATGGCTAAAAATCATAACAAATTGTACTTATGCAAACGAAAAAATATTCTCCTACCTAAATAGATTTCTTGTGTATTTCAAACGTATTTTATGTATTTCCAAATTTATTTAGATCCTCGACCTTGCGAATTTGGAGTAAATTTCAGAAAACCGCTTTAAGTCGCTAAAAAATTGTCAGAAATGCCAATCAATCTTGCAAGCAAAATTTTGCCATCATGTTGACGTTTCAGCGTCCTTCGGGGGTCCCGAGACTGTCCCTTCAAGAAAAGTCATCAAAAAGTCGAACAGCTCAGCTCTGAACAGCATCGAGCATATATAATGAAGTCGGGACGGCAGCACCCCAAACATGTTAGCAATACCCGAGGCTAGGCTGGGCCTTGTATAGAGTGAAGAGTTCATGTGGAGAAAAGTACTTCTTATCCCTAAACAAATAGCCTAGCTTGTTCCCAGCAGCTGCTCTTGATTAGATTTTTCATTTGCTTAAGTACATTTTTTGCGATTCTTAGCCATTTTTAGCGGATTTTTACAATTCACTCAACATTCTGAGGGTGTGCTGGTCAAACGGACCTCAGATTTCGACTCAGCGCATCGAAATACATAACGCTAGGTGGGTTTAGTGAACTGTATAGACCACTTCTATATATACTTGTGTCGGTGTTTTCATTTTTTCATTTTTTGCCTATAGGTCCGCTGCTACGGGATCGATTCTCGTAATCTACAAGACTCATTTTTCCTGGATGTGGTAGTAATCTTGTTTTATAATGACATCCGTGGGGTGCTTTCCAAGTTAAACAGGACCACCGTTCATCAGACAGAACCTCCGACATGCAGATAGACAGACCGATGGAGACGAATGACAGGGTTTTACGCGATGGAGGTACATTGTAGCTTGTAGTGTCCAAAAAATATATTCTTATTTTCAATTTTTTTCGCAATTACAATACTTCGTCGCCAGAGGACGCGAGAAGTAGAAGAAACTTTTGAACATACCAGCGATTCCTACAGTAGGTTTGGCGGAATTTTTTTGTTTGGTTTCTGGTTGTTGAATCGTCTTACCAGAGGCATTCCCGATGACTGGACAAATGTTTATGATAATGGAGTAGCCCAGCATATTTTTGAGAAATTCAGTGATACAACAAAAGTTTTAATTTGAAAATTTAGTCATTTCATCTTGTCTGTATACAAAATTTACTTTAAGTAAAATTATTTTCACTGGGTGCTCCACTTTCTTTGTCACTTAGAATATTTCGAACCCAATAAATCGTATAAATATGAAATAAAAAATATAAAGAAACTGCATCAAACTACCAAAAAAGTAACTTTCTAAGATATTCCTGCTTTGTATTAATTAATTAATCGTACTTTTTGCGTTAGTTTGATGAGGCGATAAATATTTGACAAATTTTCCCCACTCAGACAAGTTCGTAGCGTTTTATGTACGATAGGGGATTTGTGGCAAGTTATTCATGAAAAGAATGATTCCATTGCCATCGTAGCGGATTAGTGAGTTGTCTAAAAATACCCAGGACTAAATATAAAACTGCTGTAATGTGTCAGCGCCGACGGTTTAGTCCAAGTTCGCAGGGGAAGCCAGACTAACGAACTATCTGCAGACGTAAACGTATTTATCTATTGTTGGACATCAGGAAACTAGACCATAGGATATTTTCCCTAACCTTGTATTTTCAGTAAATTGACGATTTTTAACCTATGACACAGTATATTGTGATTCTGAAAGCTTTCGGGCATAAAAAATATGTTCGTTTGACGTTCGTAATAGAAAAAAACAAAATAGTTCGATAGCTCACATAAAGATAGCATTAACATAAATCCCTCCAAGAGTATATCGGTTGAAGTGAAAAATCACTTTGTGGAATGATTCAAATGAAATTGGCAAAAATATATATAAAATGTTATCGATCTCCAATGAACACGCTTTTTCTCCAATATTTGAGCACTTCAATTCTAACATAAACTCATAGTATTTGTTTCATAACCTTACAATACGAAATACAAAAAAATATAATATGCCATAAAGAGATATACAGTGATAAATACATCTCCTAATCCAAAAGGCTTTGCAGAAACCACGAAAAAAAGTCACCTTCAGAATCAGCAAATTTTATTTTTTACAAAGAATTTTCAGTGCACCAATCAAGCGGACAAAAAATATAGATGAATTAAATATATTTTTACAGTATCCTAGAACATAAACTTTTTTAACTTAGAATGTGATTACTAATTAAAAAGATAAACGACTACATTTCCAGTAAGAAAAAGCCAAGTTTCAAATATTTTACTTATGATTAGATTTGATGGCGTTATGTGTAGTTTTTTTTAATACCCTGTATACACGAAATTAATTGCCTAACATATATTGAGGACTCATAGGATCAAAAATTTTTATGGGACATGAAAGGGAAATTTTGAAATTGTTGCCAAATAAAAATGTGAAACATCTCTCACAAAACAACATGAATATACTGCTACTGTTACAAGTTCCAATGTATGCTTCCTGAGTACATGACGCGATGCATGGGTATAGCCCGCGAATGTTCTCATCACGCTAATGGAATTGACCTCACGAACTATCTAACTATAGGACAAAACAGGACATTGCCCGAGCTTCAGCAACTCCATACACGTAGCGTACAGCGCTGCGTTATGAATGGGTGGCTTCTTTGGTAACCTTCTTAGGAAACATAGGCATATGGCTCAAGAGAATGTTTGCCCATAGGTCTCATGTCTCATGACAAAAGCGTTCTTAGTTGAAAAGATTTAAAAAAATAAGTGGCTTTTGTATTTTTACCGAAATATAATCAGGTTACATGCTGATACTCTAAACGCAAACACATATCTCGTGAAACTATTCTCAACGCTGTTATAGAAGCAGTGGCGACGCGTGACTTTTCCTAAACTGTTACCAAAACAGTTTATTTTGATCCTCCCAAATATAAGTTTTTGCTTATTTTAGGTATTTTATTTAAACTATTTTTAAATTAAGGTAAACATTCCTGGACTCAGCGTCTGGGGCACTTGATATACCTGATCGTCTTATGCTATGACTATTCCAAGCCGTCCGGAAAAACAGTCGACGTTTCTAGATGTTCGGAAAATTTTTGATCTTTTTTGGCAATGAATGTTAACAATTTCCTGTAATTTCCTCTATTATCAGAGTCATCCACTTCAAAATGAACGGTAATTCCTGTTTTGCCAAAAAACATGCGGTATCTAGAAGTGTGCTGCCTAAAAGCTTGGTTAAGACAACTTTCGATTCTTGTCTTGCCAAACTGAATTAAATTGGCTACACATCTCACATGTAACGGAGAAATTTCATGGCTACTCTTTGGAGCCCTAAAATTATTTAAATCATTGACTCCGCTGCTGGTCCACCCATTTTTTCTGTATAAAACAGAAGACATCGCCAACAATATAATTTTTTTGCAACCACATAACCAAGAGTTTCCATATAACAAGTTAATTTAAAATATCAAACTACGTTGTTTTATTCCTTTTTAAAATTATCTAAAATAGGTGTTGGTCTTCGATTTTCAATGATCTCCTTTTTTTCCTAAAAATTATACAAGGAAAATGACTTTTCAAGTAGTTGATCGATTACACAGCGACACTTATCCATCTTTGATTGCTCGTACACTACAGCCGGTAACCAAAACGGCTACAGACGAGTCAGTAGTGAGTAACCAAATAAAAAAATGCTAACAAGCCCACATAATAGTCGCAGCGCCCCACGCACTCGGGCGGCTGCGATCAGGCACGAGCCGGTACCGGCGGTCCCCGACGGACTACCAAGTGTATCCATAAGTGAAAATGGTAACAACCGACAACCAAGTCGAGGCGAGTCAGCTTCATCGTGTTCGCAAAACCTAGACACTATAGGGCGCATTATTTTCGTGGTTCTAATTTGCTATTTACTGAATAACTATTATATATCGCTGTTGGTAAATGAATAAATGAAATTATTTGACAGTACTTAGTCATAAAATATTTATATTTTTAACTGTTACCGATGGTAACAATGGTTACCTGGACGCTTCGCCACGAGAATTTTGCAAAATGCCGTTCATATTTGAAAAATGTATTATCCGCTGTGATTTTTCTGAAATTTCACATTTTTGAACATGAGAAGAAATAAGGATATGGTTTCATTTTTAACTCCAAAATCTGAAAAAATTCCTCATTTTGCGTTGTTCTTATGATCTCTTAGCTGTAAAATATCTAATGGACACGCACGTATACAGGGTAGTCAAAGACGAATTCGCCAAAAAGCAGTCCTAAATACAGCTTGTAGCAGTGATATTAATTCAAACATGACCCTTGTAAAATATCGCCCGTTAATGAAATGCAGGACTTAGTAGCAACATCCAATAGACCAAGGTATAACTAGCTAATAACCAGCCCTGTTTTAGAAAAGAAAACTGGGTTTGAATCTTGCAGCAGGGATCAAATTCATGTTAATTTTCGAGTCCCATCTATCAGTCATGCGTCTTAAGAAACGTGGCTATTGTCTCCTAGCCCAAGCCTGCTTATACCTCTACAAATTTATGGCACACTAAATACCATTCCGATTATTCCTTAATGCTCTAACATTCTGGGTTTTCAGATTTCAAAAAGTACTTCTTTCAGAAAATCAAACAACCTATCACTCAGAAAAGTCATGACGTCATTTGAATTCACTGAGGAATCTCTCACTTTTGTAAGGTGTATATAATCGCAAAACGATATACTTTTCAGCAGGCAGTTTTATGAACAAATCGTCCTCTACACCTGGGCTAATTACTATGACTAATATTGGTAACAAACTCTACGGTCAATTTTTTAAGAAACAAATGTTGTTTCGGCCCCAAATGTTCAAAAAAGTTTCCTTTTTCCACAAAGTGTATATACTCTAGTTGTTTATAAGAGAACTAGCCTTATGTGAGGCCATTTGATTGATCCAAAGTCTGGACAGGCCATCAAAAAGATTGACTCTGTACTTCCTACGCATTCGCTTCATGTTTCAATAAAGAAGGATAAATCAAATCTTTTCAAAAGGCAAAGCCGGATAGTGATTTGGTAGGTTCACATAGGTAGGATGAATCTTCTACCTCTGCATATAAACTATATAAAGCAAATCTTCCATTTCAGATCTAAGGAAGATAATATGTGTGACTTACACTGACACCAAATCTGCAACAAATTAACAACCATTTACCGCATACAGCTTCCAACCTACAATTTTCATCCTCACCAAACAATGTCTGAAAATGAACAGCAAACTTTGTAACACAATGTTTCAGCGACCTTAATTCCCCCGCATCTGAATCGATTTTCAAAATCTACGATTACCTAAACGATGGTAGTATTAAGCTAATATTCGAACTTCGGTTCACAAGTTTTCTGTTGCTGAAAGATATCTGCATCACACAAGTCCGTGTTTCTCATTTATGTCCGTTTGCCAGTCCGTGTCTGTTGTACGTATATCAACGCGTCATAAGTGGTACATACGTAGATACTAGTATTATATAATATTGCTAAAACATATAAATATTTCTCCTGTGGCGGTGTGGCATTGACGACACCACCGCAGACAAGTTGTTACCCATTGCACAGTCGGCAGTGGCCTCCACGACGATGCAGCATCGCGCCGTGCACGCAACGCCAACGATTGCCAAGCTTAAATATTAAAGAGGTCGATGATTTTTGCCGTTTGGTTTTTATATAAATTAACCATTACAGCAAACTGGCAGTGTGAGGTCTCAGTTTCAAGGTATGTTCATCCCCTACAATTTTTTTGGACGATTTACATCGATAATTCATAACCATTAGCATATACGTGACAATGTGATTTGTCCAACTTTAATCTTTAATAAAACAGTTA